CAAGCCCGGACATCCAAATTGTGGACGTCTAAATATTGACGTTCACGGTGGTTGTCTTAAATCGGATGTACATACGATGGACGTTTATTTTATGTCCATGGACGTGCGGACGTAAAATGGACATAAAATGAATGTCCATAGAATGTCCTGTGTTGTTTGGATTTGAACGTACAAATTCTAGACTTTAAAAGGTCGACGAAAAGATGTCTTGTTTTAGTCGTCTTTTCGACATGACGAAAAGACATCTATAAGACGTCTTTTTCGCCATGTCCAAAAGTCGACTTAGAAAAGACATCTTTTCGTCGTCTTTTAGTATTTTGTGCCTTGTGGGTAATATGTCAGATGAAGCATTTTAGAAATAACATTTTTTTCTATGTATAAATTGGAGTATGTACGCACAATATATTCTGCGGAAATGCATACGTGAATAACATCGTTTGAAGCTGATATCAGTCCACCTTTTGATTTTCTCATTTGCAACTTTGATTTAGGTGTTTTCCCCACCAGTGCCAATGAACAAAAATCACACTTAATGACCGTCATTAATTTTCTCGCAATAAAATCAGCAATATAAGCCACAACATCTTCAGCATATTCAGAAGAAAACCAAACATGCAGAAGGTCAGTATCATCATCATTTTTTGTATGTTTGTCATATTCTATGTCATCGATGATCTATTCCATTCTCATTTATCGAACAAGTTGTTGTCAGATCTAATCTCCTTGGGCATATTGTTTGTAAAATTTTTGTACTGTCCATTTTAATGATGTTGGCACTGTCACAGAGTTGCACTATATCAGCATATACCATCAATTTTTTGTATGCAACCTTAAACTGCTTGTAAAATGGATTATTGTTAAATCCTCTACGACGTCTGACAGCACTGAAGAATGTTTCAAGATGATCTTGTGAGAGTTTGTACGTCATTAGAAATTTAATCTTTTCGGTGACAAAAAGTGATTCAGCAAGAGTTACTGTGTTCTTGAAACAAACAATTAAGCCGAGAAATCCCATTTTTATTCGGGATTGAAGAGTATTGGGGAGTATCTTCCTCGTGAAATATATTTTTCAAAAATATGCAGTAACTCTGCATCTTCGTCTTCACTTCCTCCAGATTTTCACCAGTAATACATCTTTTACTCTTTGACTTGCATATCAGATTTCTACTGTTTAATAAATTGAACATAACACACAATTGTTGATTTCAACGCAAAATCTGGAGATAGCGCTTGAACCTGCAAATTTAGTAAGTTGCAAATCTTCACGGCAAAAAGATAATGCATCTGCAACACTTTTGCTAAACGTTTGCGTTGCAAGCTTTATTTTCATTTTTTCTTTTTGCATTGAATATGATGTCTACGAATTTTTATGGTAGTGTGAAGACCTTCATCTTCTTGCAAAGCTACTAGTTGTTCCAGATAGCTCCAACGAATAGCCTCACCTTCATGATTGTATAAAATCTTTTTATTGCCAAACTATTGCGGATTAATTTAATCATATGAACAGCGTAAATAAAAATGTATATTTGTTCATTGGTGACTGGGTGGAGAAAAAATGGTACTATATTCTTAACAGAATTTCTCAATAAAATAGCACGCGATTACTCAAACATTAAAATATTAACAGACGTTTGTAGTCGAAACAATTTTTATATCATAAATCATTATTTCGAAGAACCATCAAACATTATTTTAACAGATTTGCACGACGATTTCTTTGCCAGACTGTTCTTTGTCAATCTGCTTATAAAATAATATACAACGGGAATTGTAAAATGCATATTTATGCATATAATTAAGAATACCAGTGTGTTGGGTATATTGACAGGCGCTAAGCACTACGCTATTGATTGACGATGCATTTATATGTTTCTTAGAATATATGTTTCTTAGAATAAAGAATGTGGTCGTCGCACCAGGCAGTCGCGCCGGCCGTCTTATCTCTTAGCCAAGGGCAGCTGCACCGAAGAATCGCTCGAACGATTGCTCGCACGACACGTCAGCTATAAGTCGTCTTTAAAAGACCGACCGAGAGACGGACCGTCGGAGAAGCATGAGTGTGGTTGTAAACGGAGCATAACGACGCTTGAATCTTCTATTACTACTTCGGACTGTTCGCGTGTTGCAGACATATTAAGACACAACGACCTTAAACATTATACCAACAAAAAGCACAACAGATATGATGATCACTTTTCTCGGACATTGAAATATCCTTTATAAAGTGTAAGAAAAGAATTATAAAGTGAATATCGTTGAAGCGGTTGTTTCTGCTGCTTTTAGTGATAAATTATATAAATTATAAAATTAAACGAAAAATTGTCATTCGTTTTTTGTTTGCTTAATAATGCCGGTTTGATATATACCATTCCTAAATGATATATAAATGCGATGTAATTTTATTCATATTGTAAAATCTACTTCTTATTTTTTTTTAAACATCTTGTATATCAAACATAATTCATATCAAAAAGAAAATCAACCAATATAAGTTAACAAAAGTCAATGAGAAGTCATAACAGCTTTTAGCAAGTAGTGCAAGCGAAAGTACAGCTCTTTGCAATTATTAAAACAATTTTGTCTAACGATTTGATTCTTTCTCATGATAGGTTAGTTAACTCTTCCCAATTTTACCGTAACTTAAATTTCTTTTCAAAAATTTGCCGATATTACTAAAGTTTTATTAATGTTTGTACTTCAAGAATAAAAAGGTTAAAATATTGTTTCTATACATTTATTAAATATTAGTCATATAATTATATAAATTCTTTTATTTATAACCTTGTCAAGTTTTTTTCTCGAATGTCGTTATATTTTTAACACAAACAAATCCTGGAAATGTAGTATAAACAGATAGCATAAACTGATAATGTCTGGATAAAAATATGTGCATATAATTGTATATAAATGGATATATGTACAATGAAAATTAATATAAATTCTAGCGATTGTTATTGAATATATTGTCGAACAAAATATTCGCGTTAATAGATACAATTTGAAAAATGTTTGATGAATGATTTTTTTATTAGACAGATTTTCTATTTCGATATTTAGTAGCTTTGTTCCGTTATATATATATATATATATATATATATATATATATTATATATATATATATATATATATATATATATATAATTATCCTTAACACAGAAAAAGATGCTAACTTTCTAAATTAATTTCATAAAATAAAATCTACATTAGTATAAGTCTTATTATATATCAATATTGTAAATATCATAAATATCTAGAAAGATAAATAAATTTTAAAAATTGAAGAATAATATTATAAAAACTTGTTGAAGTGTTATCGTATATATATATATTAATGTAACAGATAGTGAACAAAAAACTTCATTAATTTTAAAAATTATTATTTTTAGAAATAATTATATATATACTACATACAGGGTGGGCCATTTTAAGTGATCCACTCAAATATTTCGGAAAATAATGAAAAATCAAAAAAATGTTTCAGATAAAAGTTGTATGGCTTGAAGGGGGCCATCAGATAGTGGCAATGATTTGACCTTGGAGAGTCATTTGAAGATGACGTAAAGGTAACCTTCAATTTCTTAAACGGAACTCCCTATTTTTTATTACATATTCGTGTAGCTTATCTCGAGAGCTTTCCAAAACACTATAATAAAGTATTTCTTCATTGAGTACTTTTCGAGTTATGAGGCTTGAAATCATTTCTTAATTTTGTATAAACCGTAAAATATCTAGTAAAATATTCATTTTTCGATTATCTTGCTTTAATACTTTTATGTACAAAATAATGAGAGGAATCAATTGGTGTAAAGAAAACACATAGTTATTTTTAAGAAAAAATGTAATTTGCAATTAACAATTACATATTTTTTCGTTGAAACAACTATGTGTTTTTTTTACACCAATTGATTTCTCTCATTATTTTGTACATAAAAGTATTAAAGCAAGATAATCGAAAAATGAATATTTTACTAGATATTTTACGGTTTATACAAAATTAAGAAATGATTTCAAGCCTCATAACTCGAAAAGTACTCAATGAAGAAATACTTTATTATAGTGTTTTGGAAAGCTCTCGAGATAAGCTACACGAATATGTAATAAAAAATAGGGAGTTCCGTTTAAGAAATTGAAGGTTACCTTTACGTCATCTTCAAATGACTCTCCAAGGTCAAATCATTGCCACTATCTGATGGCCCCCTTCAAGCCATACAACTTTTATCTGAAACATTTTTTTGATTTTTCATTATTTTCCGAAATATTTGAGTGGATCACTTAAAATGGCCCACCCTGTATATATATATTTAATCTCATTTATAAATTATTTGTCTAGAAATAGCGATACATTTGATTTTAAATGTAAATGAGTAAAAATATGCATACTACTAATTTTTTATTTCTCTCTCTCTCTCTCTCCTCTCTCTCTCTCCTCTCTCTTTCTCCTCTCTTTCTCTCTCTCTTTCTCTCTCTTCCCTTCTCTTCTCTCTCTTCTCTTTTCTCTCTTTCTCACCTGTTCCGCGCCCAGTCTTTTGGTAAATGTGTACGTATTTTCGGCATTGTATTCCTAAATATATCTGCAAATACTCTCGAAGATATGTCAGATATGCTATATAAATAGAAATGTAAGAAAACAATATTATTCAGATTAATTATGAAAAATATTAATGTAAATCATTCAAGTGAATCTCACGATTTGAGAAACAGTTATATCAGTTATATCAACACAGAAAATTATTTCAAAGTCGTTTGCAATACACTGGCTATAAAAGTAATATGTAAGTAAAAAAGAATTTAAACTTTATCAAAGGTATATATAATTATTATAATGAAAGTAAACATAAATATTATTTTTTATAACTTGTTTATTTTTTATAACTTGTTTATCATAAAAATATCGAAAAGATTACATTAGCAACACTGTAGATATTAATGACATATGACATTATAGTAATATATGTAATTTAACTACTATTTTGAGTAGTGACAGGTTAAATAATAAAAAGTGCAAATTAAATGATAAAATTAGCTAAATCATAACATATGGAATGGAGACATTCAAATAGCAATATTATTGTTTGTTATTGATTTCAGATTTATCTTTATTTCCTTTCATTGTTGGAATAGAATCATTGTAGAGAAAACGCACAATTTTCTCTTCTTATTTATATTTTTATAATTTACAATGCTTCGTTAATAAGTGATACTACTTCGTCATTGTCCATCATTGTGATATGAGTACCTTCCACATAATGTATTTGTACTGTACGTTCGGTAATCTAAAAATATTTTATATTTATAAAAATAATCTTAAAAATGACAAAAAATATTATGCTTTAATCAAATTTACCTTATGTAGACCATAATCTTCTTCAGTAACAGTAATAGGAGCAAGTGTGGGTTTTAATAAGGTTATAGATGATTTAAGACGTGGCAATGATGCTATATTATAATCTTGTATAGCGATTATATGATCGTAAATCGTTGAACATAAAAGTTTCTGATTTTCAATAGTTAATTTAGTGATATCCTTGAGAAAGCGAACAGAAACTAATTCTAATTTCTCTTCCCACGTATTGCACTTATTTAATTCTAATGCAAGCTGTAAATAATAATATTGTATCAGTACAATAAAATGACAATCTGCACTTTAAACTGAGATAAAATAATATGCTTATATTATATTATGTTATTTCATATAATCTAAATTACGTTAAAGAAATTTTACAAATCCTTTGAAATTTAGATTATATAAAATAATATAATAAAATAATATAGTAAAAAATTTAGCTTATTTTATCATTTTAATGCATACATTCTAACAAATTACTTTTTTCATAATTTTTCCTCTCATTTTATTAACTACACACACACACACACACACACACACACACACACACACACACACACACACACACACACACACACACACACACACACACACACACACACACACACACACACACACACACACACACACACACACACACACACACACACACACACACACACACACACACACACACACACACACACACACACACACACACACACACACACACACACACACACACACACACACACACACACACACACACACACACACACACACACACACACACACACACACACACACACACACACACACACACACACACACACACACACACACACACACACACACACACACACACACACACACACACACACACACACACACACACACACACACACACACCACACACACACACACACACACACACACACACACACACACACACACACACACACACACACACACACACACACACACACACACACACACACACACACACACACACACACACACACACACACACACACACACACACACATATGTAGTTAATTATTATTTATAGTTTTTTATAGTTAATTAAATATAAATATATTTATATATATATTTAATGTCTAACCATTTCATTGTTAGGATCAAAATACATATTTATTAAATTCAGTAAAATACTATTTTGTAGCTCTTGTTCTGTAGTATGATAAAAAAATTTCTCAAGCAAGAACTTTATTTGATCAGGAGCTCCATTTATAAGTATTAAACATCCAGAGAAATTCTTGGCTTCTAATAATCTCGCTAATTCGATGGCAATTAACGATCCAAATGAATAACCAATAATTAGAAATTCTTTTCGACTTTGTACTTTCTCCAATACGTGCTAGAAAAATAAGCAAACACATAGGAAATTGTACGTAAAAATGACACGCATGTATGCATGCGCGTATACGTATATACAGGGTGTCCGTAGATTTTCGACCAAAATGAAATAAATAAGTAGATTGGCTCGAATTAAGAAGGAATGACCTGTATTGTTTTGGGATTGTCGCAATAATTAACGAAATATTAAATAAAACAGATCGGCCAATCTGCGTGAGTAAAAGCGCGCGGCGACGAGAGTCGTCCCACCGTAATCCGATACTACGAGCGCGGCGAAGCGGTGGGCGGGTCGCTCTCCGAGACATGATGGTGGTTTGCGATATATCGCAATACCGCGCCGAAAAATGACCCGTCCCCCCTTTTCGTGGCGAGAAAATGATGCGCTATCATTTCCACACCACCTTGCGGTAGATAGCATGGTGCGCTTTTTTTATAGTGGTTTCCCCCATAGGCCTATTCCACTCTCAATTTAAAAATTATTCAAAATGCCATTTACTATACGCTGAATATATCGTAAAAAATTAATGGACAGTACCTTTACAAAAGGTAAGCGTACGTGTGAGTTCGACGCCTGCGCACTATGATTACACTCACAGTCCGCTCAGCTGTCAGCTGTAGTTGCGTGCTGCTGGCGTACGCAGTCTGGTAACAGCGTGCGAGAGCTAAGACGTTTTAATAAAAATCTTGTGTTTGCGTAGTAAATTAACAGAGAAAATGAAGTGTACTCTGCAGGAATATACGGATATGATTGTGGCATACGGACTAGCGGGAGAAAATACTTATCGTGCGGCCGCAATTTACATGGAATCATTTCTCGGGCGTGCACGAAAACCAAGTGGCCGTACAATTTTACGTGTTGTGCAATAATTATGTGAAACTGAGTGTCGTGCATAATATCGGGATAACCGGTCCAGCAGTGCGTCTTCGTGTACGAGATGAAGAAAGGATTCTTGAAGAATTTTATCATCGTATCACATTATCAACGTGTGCAATACATTTTATCGAGGGATTTTCAACCACGAATCAATTTTTGTAAAGGTACTGTCCATTAATTTTTTACGATATATTCAGCGTATAGTAAATGGCATTTTAAATAATTTTTAAATTGAGAGTGGAATAGGCCTATGGGGGAAACCACTATAAAAAAAGCGCACCATGCTATCTACCGCAAGGTGGTGTGGAAATGATAGCGCATCATTTTCTCGCCACGAAAAGGGGGGACGGGTCATTTTTCGGCGCGGTATTGCGATATATCGCAAACCACCATCATGTCTCGGAGAGCGACCCGCCCACCGCTTCGCCGCGCTCGTAGTATCGGATTACGGTGGGACGACTCTCGTCGCCGCGCGCTTTTACTCACGCAGATTGGCCGATCTGTTTTATTTAATATTTCGTTAATTATTGCGACAATCCCAAAACAATACAGGTCATTCCTTCTTAATTCGAGCCAATCTACTTATTTATTTCATTTTGGTCGAAAATCTACGGACACCCTGTATAATCCAATTAAGTGCATAACAATTTAAATAATAATTTCAAACAGATTACAGTATAATTTCGTACAGGCAGAAGATATGCTGCTGATTTCATTACTGAACGAGTAACACCCGGCGTATTAAGTATACCATGTTGCAAACATATCGCCGAAGATTTAATTTTCGATCCTATCAGTTTATATACACTTGCACATCCGTCGATTCCTGGTATAAGGAATATTTCACTCTCAGCAACTTTCCTCTCTGTAGCGAGTTTTACATAAATATCTGGACTCAAGTCTGAATTGTTAAGCTTTCGAGTCAACATTTTTAATCCGTCCAAATCATTTGCATCAGTGTCGGTGTCATCTTTTCCGTACATCTTTTCTTGTTCAGATGTATTTGTCAATTTTTCAAGTTTTGCAAAAGTGAGATTTCGAATATCTTTTGCCGTCAATAAAATATCGAATTCTCTTTCCAATGTCTGTTTAATCTCCACTAACATCATTGAATCCATGCCTAGTTCAGGCAGTGACATGTTTGGCGCCGCCATGTTTGGATTCTTTAATCCTATTTTAAAAATTAGAGAAAGAATTAAATATTTACACATGATTTTAATCAGATCTTATCTAATTTTGAAATTGCAATATAAGAATTATTAGAATTTATATTCTTTGTTATAAAAATTTAATTTGCATAAGCGAATCTTTTACATAATATATGTATACTTAATGAATTTACCCATAATATTTACAACCGCTTCAAATGGATTCGTTGCTTTATTAGAATCTTTTTTTTTCTCAGCAATAACTATGCTGCTTACGATTGGGCGATCTTGTAGCAAGAACACTTCTAATGTGTCCAAGCAGGACGATATTTCTTGTTGCAATGTACCACCAATAACAAGTTCTTCGTCGTCTTCTTGCATATCTGCGACAAATCCTACGTCGCCAATTGTGCCCCACTGTATAGCCAAACCATGTAAACCTTCTTTCATTCTTCTTTCACAAATTCTTTCCATTACGGAATTTGCCATTCCGTAATTTGTTAGGCCTGGGTTACCTCTTCCGCATGAAACGGAAGAAAAAACGACAAAATGTCGGAGCTGAAGACAAATTGTTCTCGATAATTCGTCCATCCTTTTCGTCGTCCATGCCTTTGATATAAAGGAATCTTCGAATGCTTGTGGGGACTGATTCTTGAATATGTTTTCTTTCAACACAATTGCGAGATTGAATATAGCATCCACGGGACCTTGTTTTTCGGCAAATTGTAATACAGATTTACAGTCTTCGTATTTCGAAGTATCAGCAGCCGTAACGATTTGAACATTCACACCGTGAGATTGCCATAATGTTATTCTTGATCGCTGATAACCGTTTTTTATCCCAGTTCGCGAAGTCAATACTAGGTTTCTTGCGCCACGTAAAATCAACCAATCAGTTAATTCTAGACCGAAACCACCCAGACCACCTATAAGGATATAGCATTTGTGTTCCAGGCAATAGTACCGGGGATGTGCAAGTATAGGTGCATCCAGTTCATTTTCATTTTGAATTTTTATCATTATCTGCAAATAATATTATATTATATTTTGAACTGTCAAGAAAAAGAAATAAGAAGAACATATAAAAGACAACAAGCTATTAGAAAAAATGAAGATTACAGATAAAACCTGAGAATAAATAAATTGCCAAATAAAATGTTATTGTACAATAACAAAATAGAAACAAATTTAAAAAGATCGATAAAAAAGAAAGAGAATTTTTCCAAATGTAATGTAAAGAGGAAAGAAACACAATAAATAACTTTTATATATTATAACATAGTTAAAAACATAGAATACACCAAGAAAGCTGTTTAATTTGAAAATCTGTGGACAGAAATATTTAAGGTAAAAAAGTTTGCGTTACAAGTTGCGTTCAATATTAAGTTTTAATTAAGGAAAATAGAAAAATTCTTAGCATAGAAATGTTTGCGTTTCAAATTATAAACAGAAAACAAGAGTGATGTTTATTTATATTAAATAATTCTCTAATATTAAAGATAATACAGAGAAAACAAAAACTGTATGCATTATTTTGAGAATATAATATTTCAATTTTAATTATATTTTTTCTATTATACGTGTAAAAATGATCATACCTTTCCGATATGCTTTCCAGCAGCCATATATCTAAAAGCAGTTTCTATTTCATTCTTTCCGAAGACTTCTCTGCATAACGGTTTGATGGCGCCATTCTTTAAACCTTCCGTTAATTTGTTCCGTATTATTGCCCTATTCTCTGATTTTGCAGAAACAAACTTATCCAAGAAAATGCCATGAAAACTAATGCCTTTTGAAAACGTAAATATTTCTAAAGAATTATTGGAATCTATATCAAACTTTCCAATCTCGAGAAAACGACCACCCTTTGCTAAGCAACGGACAGACGCTTGCAGTTTCTCTTCAGCTAAAGAATTCAATACAATATCCACTCCGCGACCTCTCGTTTCCTGAATAATCATTTGTTCGAAGCTCGTATCGCGAGAGTTTCCGATGTGATCTTCGGGAATAGAGGGAAACGTTTTTCTTATAAAGTGTCGTTTCTTGATATTTCCAACCGTCGTAAACACTTCGCAACCCTCGTAAAGGGCAAGATAAATGGCAGCTTGACCAACACCTCCCGCACCAGAGTGAATCAATACTTTGTTGTCTTTTTTCATTTTACCGTTCAAATACAAAGCGTAATAACACGTGCTATATACACAAGGAATCGTCGCGGCGTCTTCCATCGTCCATTTATCGGGTATGATCCAAGTAAGATATTTGTCAAACATACAAATATTTGTCATTCCTCTGAAAATAATATAAATTAGAAAATCATATAATAATATTATATTAAAATTAAGTCGAAGAAATTTCTTTTGTGAATAATATTTTAACAATAAAAAGAAGAAAAATATAGCAATGTTTTCATTTCTTACTCTATCAAAAACGTTTCTAATTTAAATATAAGAAATGTATATTAATAAAAAAATTATTAAAACTATTAAAAGTAATTAAAAATAATTATTAAAAATAATTATAATCTTTCTTTATTTATTTATACTTTTTCTAATTTAAATATAAGAAATTTATATTTTATATCGTTTAATTTTAAAGAATATATTTACATTTTTCTAATAATATATTCACACACATATTAGGATTTACATTTATTAATCAAGTTTCTATCACTATCCAATATTCACTTACCCTGTTAACAACCCCATTATTCTTTGTCCAGTTTTATTAAAACCAGCAAATTCCATTAAAGA